CAGCACGCCGGCATCCGCGTCGCGCCCCCGATGACTTCGAGAAAAGGCGGCTGGCCCGGCGCGAGATCGCTGCCGGCTCGAAGCCCCGCCCCGAGCGCGTCGTCTCGGATCTTCACCGCGGCGTCAAAAAGGGCCCCACAGGCCTCTTTGAGGATGTCCCGCGAGAGGACCGTCGTGAAGGGTGCCGCCGCCGACACCGGTGCCACACCTTCCACGACGACGGGGACTTCGCGGTTGGCGGAGAGCTTCTCGCGGGCCGCCTTCGCCGCGCGGAGGAGCGCGACGCGACGTTTTGCCGAGGCGTCGTCCCCCTCGGAGGGCCTCCTTACCCCCTCTTCGTCTTTATCCCCTTTCCCGGGTCCGAGGGCGGCACCGCCGAGGAAGTGCCGATCCCAGTATGCCGCGATGCAGGCGTCGAAGTCGTCCCCGCCGAGGTTCGGGTCCTCCGCGACGGCGAGGAGCCGCAGACGTGGGAGGGCGGCGTCGTTTCCGTGCGAGCCAGAAAATCGAAAAACCGCGGCTTCGGTATGCCGGCTGCCCATATTATAGATTACCACGTCCGATGTTACCGCAGAGGTGGTGAAATAGTGCTCGTAGCGATGCTGTGCGAGGGCCACCGCGGCCGCGGTAAGGTCGTTGACGAGCCGCACCACACGGAGCCCCGCGATGGCGGCGGCGTCGATAATCCCTTGGCGCTCCGCCACCGACGCGGCGGCGTGGAGGGCCACCGCGGCATACCGAGCCCCATCGCGGCCCCGCACGACACCGGGAAAGCGCGCCGCCAACTCCTCCGTCTCGTGTGCGTCCCAGTGCTGCCGCTCCGCATCCCGCCCTGCGACGCCCTCCAGCAGGTGACTGAAGAGCATCCCGGTCAGCTCCTCGGCGGTGTAGCGTTCGGCGTCCCCTCCCTCTTCTTCTGCCTTTCCCTGTGCTACACCCGTGTCATGGGCTGTTCCTTTTCCCTGTGTTACACCCGTGCCGTGGGCTCCTTCCTTTCCCTGTGCTACACCCGTGTCATGGACTCCTCCTTTTCCCTGTGTAACACCCGTGCCGTGGGCTGTTCCTTTTCCCTCTGTTACACCCGTGTCATGGGCTCCTCCTTTTCCCTTTCCCTGTGCTACACCCGTGCCGTGGGCTTCTCCCTTCTTGCCGCGGGGGATGGCAATGATAAGGCGGCCCTGGCGGGTTTGGTCGGGCTCGGCGAGGTGGAGGGAGTGCACGTGGGCCGGCGGCGGCCGCGCGAGGGAGCGGCCAAGGAGCAAAGACGGCGCGCAGACGACGCGCCTGGGGAAGCGCGGGATCAGCGCCTCGGCGGACTCCGCGAAGATGCGCTCTCGGATGAGCGTGTCCATCCCATGGGATGGGTTTCGTTGCCATTTGTAGCGAAACCCGATGCACGGCGGGCTCTTCCGCTTCGCCTGGCCGTTCAGAAGGAGATTTACCGACATACTGGGAATGAGTTGCGCGGGATCGGTTGAGTATAGAAGATCAAGGGTTGCCGCCTTGATGGACTCGGTGCCCATGTCGACGGCGAGAAGGGACGTCTCTTCGATGAACGCCGCCGCCATTTCCGTCCGCAGCGTCATGCATAGGATACTGCACAGAAGAAGCAGTGACACTAGACACTTCGCATTGCGCATTCCGAAGAGCGTTGAAAGTGCTCACAGAAAGATAGTAATCGAGGGGACGATAGGTCGACCAGACTAAGCTGATTACGTAGAGGAAATCCTCAGTTTTTTTCTAATTGAATTTGAAATATCTATACACTTAGTTAATATTTTAATATCACAGCACTAAATGATACTGTTGTTTGAGATTGAGAGGGTAACCCCCCCCAAAAAAAAGACACGTTGATTAGACATATTTTCTGTCGGGTTGATATCCCATAACTCACATATCTTTGATAAAAGACATATAATCGCTTTAATTTGGATACTATACATCACTTGGGGAAATAAATTATACTTAAATATGTGCAAACATGTATTCAGGAATATCCTGTTATTAATTCTTTCTGCACTTCTCCCCTCCTCTTCTCACCTCCTAATCATTCAATCATCTCAACTATGCGTGAATCTGCAAAGAAAGAATAGGTGCATCCACATTATACAATATGGCTTGAACCAGTACGATTTTTTTCTTTGACCGATAAAAAAATATCAATACATTTTTAATAAATAGTCAATAATAGATTATAATATTTCACAACACCTATGCGCTTAAATTATTCCTTCCGTTACAACGATCTATGCAGTGTACTAAATGTATAGAATATGTAATTCAACAGAAGATAAACTTAATGTTTTAGAAATCTATTTTACATAAAAAAAAATCACCAAACGCGTTTCAAAAATTCACTCAGAAGCTCCAACCACAGTTATGTGCGGATGATTCCTAGAACTTTACGAAAAAAAAGACAAAGTCCCGTGGAATCCTTTCAATAGATCTTTTTTATTATAATTTTAGCGGTTATGTCGTCTCACTCTATGACTGAGTGAGGTTATATTTTCGAATTCAATGCACAGAGCTGCTGCTTGTTCCCGGTCTCGACTTGAGGACCTTACTTTCGACCGTGAGGGGTGGGTCCTTATTACGCTTTAATCGCCCCGCGTTCTCCTTTGCCATATACCGGGCTCGATAGGTATGCCGATTGCGCTGGAATAGGATGATCGGGCTCGGGGGCTTGTAGACGCCTGAGCCCGTCATGCCGACCTCCGCGCCGTTCTCGGGGGCCAGGGGCGCGGGGGTCTTGACCTTGTCCCTCAGGGCGCTGGTTTGCCGCCTCACGAACGATCGCGAGCGCCCGCCCTTCCCGGAGTGGAGGGTGGCCGCCGTGGGGGAGCCGGACTCCCCCCCTTTCGTGAGCGCGGCGAGCGGGAGGCCGGGGTCGGGGAGGGCGCCGTCCCCCCCGTCCGACCCCGTCG